TTTCTTTTCTTATTTACCACTATAGATAACGTTTCTCTGCACACTGAAATCTGATTAGTCTCAAGGAAATAATTGTAATCGATTATTGGATTTATTTCTGTAAGATTACATACAGATAAAATAAAATAAAATAAAATAATTGTTTTCATTAGAGATAACCCAACTCATTTTCAGAACAATTATTTGGTCAAATCGATTATTCCTGAATTGAAAGGCAATGCTTGACTTTTAGTGAATATTCAGAATATCTCTACACGAAAATCATTTCTTATCAGAAACGTTGCCGATCAAAGAGACGAAGCATGTCTCAATAGAGAGTTGGTCATATGTAGATATTTTGGTATGAAAACTGTGATTCCATTGTGTTTAAATATCAAGTGAATTTTGCAGTGAAACTGTGAAAATATCATTGGTAAGTTTTTTTTTGCAATTGCATTACCTCGTTGGTCCCAGCACTGGGACCAAACGCCCCATAAGTCGAAACTTGTGCGGGGTTTGGTCCAACACAAACATCAATGGCCTAACTAGGATTCGAACCTATGTCTCGGTGGGAGTCCCCATACGAACTCAGCGCCTTCACGCTCTCGACCACCGAGCCGCCTCGGCAGTGGCACTCATAATTTCCTATAATAATATTATGAATCATTGATGTCTTCATGGTGTTTGAGTTACTTTACTTGCTGTTCTATTTTCGTTGGGTTTTCCTTTGCAATACCTAATAGTTATTCATGTACCAAGTGCGTTATATAGATCCTAACGCCCGGAGGGTAACATTCACCCAAGGGCATTTGGCCCGATGGATGACTGCTGGCAGTTTGGCTCGTGGTGCATACAAGATTTTATTTTTCACGATAAGATCATCTTGAACGACGTTGTTTACTTTATGAATTTCTTCTTCTTCCGTAGTATTTCTGACCACACCCTCATCTCCAAAAACCTGCTCTTTCCATGTACCTTCCAGCACCACCATTCCTACCCGTCTCACGTGGCATTACAATTTGGCCGATTGGGAAGGTTTTCGTATGTTTTTTTCAGCGTTTCCATGGATGAGAGTTTATTTCTCCTCAGCAGATCCAACACGATGTAAGTTAGAAAAGGCAAGTGAAATTAGACAGAGATAGAAAACTGTACCAATTTGAAAGCCACTCAGCTGCTTTTTGTTTATTCAGCAGTAACGAGGTTGGTCAACTTGGTTTCTTTTGTAGCAGTGCTACCAACTCATTGTACACAAGGCGAGCGCACACGCTTGCCGATTGACATTTTAGTCATTTTTCCTCGAACCTAACCAGGCAAACTTTATTATGACGTCACGGTAACTTCATTCAGACGTCACGGTTCACTCGTGGAGTTTGACAGATATCAGTTATTTATCTGCTTTTCCGTTCTAGGTTTTTTGTCTGATATTTGAGAATTTCAGAGTTGAATGGATAATTATATACAAAGTTTATCAATACTAGAGTTTATGGAAGATTCCACCACATGCTTTGTTAGCAGCCATAAATTCATCGGGAATTAACTCTTTCAATACATGGATCAAATACTGGAAGATGATGAACATTTTAGAATGCCCATTGTAGATGAAGATTGTATTCAGAAATATTTGGATTATCATTTTCATATGCTGTTCCGAGTGAAACAAATTCGTTCTACAATTTATTAGAGCTAGTTGGCAGGTATTATAAGGTACCAAAATACCCAGGAGGACTCTTGAAAAAATATTGATGATATTTTTGTAGTATGTTAGCAAAGGTTGTAGTATGAACACAATAGCGGACAGGTTCATTGTGGCTCTGAAGTCTGTACAACACATCTATCACAAAAATATTAAGTATATTTGAGAGTTTGAAATATCAGTTGATAACATGGCCCGCTGTAGAATAATGCATTGGAATTGAAATACCTACTCATTCCATGAGAAATCATTCAAATACAGGTGTCATGGGAGCCATAGATGGTTCCATTTTTGACTTAAAGTTAATAAATCGAAACATGACAGCTACCAGGATAGACATTTTGATCATTCAATCACCATACGAGGTATGTGTATCAAATATGAAATATATTAATATATCTGTGGGTTATCCTGGATCATTACATGATGCACGAGTGAGAAAAAAATTTCATATTCAGGAGTTTATTCACATCCAAATGCATTTAATTCTTTCAGATATTATCCCTTACGCTCCGTACTTTCACAATTGTACGGGCATTATCTAAGTGATTTATAAAGATCAAAATATCATTTTGCTGGATTGAGAACCAGCCACTATGCTTGTGAGTGCTCTATTTGCACGCAACAAAACGCATTTGCTGCTTATTTTATTTTCAGGCGGCGTAAAAAAAATAAATCATTGTGTTGTGCAATTGGTCTCGACTGAAAAATGTTTCCTGAGGGTGAGTGAATCAAAAACATCAACTATATATGATATTGTGAATGATTTTATGCATTGAATGGCAAATGAAAACATGATTCAAGATGGTGGTTCACAGTGTCTGTTTCCAAAATGTTTTTCGGGGTCAGATTTCAGGACATATTTTGTGTACCATCACATTTGTGTGCTCCGGGAGCATACCGCTACGGATCAATGATCATTATCGATTTCGATTCAGACATTTCAATGTGTCAAAACTGTCCTCCATCCAAGAATGTTGAATTTCAAAAAGATCAAGATGACATTTACGATTTTTTGGATCGGATAGGATCACATCTGGAAATCGATTCCGATAAAGATGACCAGTGGGAGGTGAATGCACATGAGGAGTGCTGGAGGAATATTTGTTGGGTAAGTGGATGAAAATGCGAATAAACCAACCGTTCTTCTTGCAAATAGAGAAGCTTCTATTTCAACAAATGACAAAAGATATGAAATTGACCACTGGCCTGTCATTGATTCTCCGAAATCACCACGGACTTGCTGACTGGAAAGTTGCGGTAGCCGTTCAAGGCCGAGATGCTAAAAATGCAATGTACGCCTATGCCTGTGCTTGACCAATGAAAGTAATTGTTGCGTCACTTTTCATAACAAACCATACACAATGAAAGATATTTCTTCATGATAAGCGTTTTCTTCATTCTCAGTTGAAATCCCATTTCACTCCCAAATAACACGATTGTGAGGGTCCTGAAAATGATATTGCATTCCTGAAAAAATTCGAACAAAAATTCAGGAAGTTTCTGAGGTTACTCTGAGTCAAACCTGCTAGAAAATTTCCGGCTATTCTTTCCAAATTATTCTCAGGAGTGTAAGGGTTATGGGAGTCGAGTCTCCACCGAGACATAGTGAAGAATGATGCACACAATTTTTTTTTGTGGAAAATATCACCTTGTGGCAGATTCTGCATATCCATGTGAGAGTTGGACACGCTACAAGTGAGGTTTTTCACTATCGAGTAAGGAGTTACTATCATATTATAGTCTTGTTAACACAAAAGTGAAATTACAATCCTGCAAATTCAAGGTTCACACCTGGTTCAACTCAATACCAGCGGAAATATAACAGAGCTCTAAGCCAGCAAAGAGTAGTCATTGAGCATTCCTTCGGACAACTAAAAGGACGCTGGAGGATTCTACAATATATTGATGTGTATACTATGAAGATACCAGTAGACTTGATAGTTGCTTGTTGTTCTCTACATAATTTTTGTTTAGACAACAATGATGTTGTAGATCATTTCGAAGACCCAACTGCCATTGATGACATCCAATATATTGGAAATGTAGATACTGATGGAACAACAAGAAGAGAAGAGATTGTGAGATTATTACAAAGAATTTGAATGTTTGAACATCTACCTATAAAATATCAAAACATAAATAACATTTTTTTTCCTGCCACATCTAACCTGAATGGAAACTCAATTATAATATGGTTTTCATAAGGTAGACGGATTGATTTGCATAAAAATATTGAAACAATAATTGTTCAATCCTTGTTAGATCAAAACTGGCGAACTGGGCTGGTGGCCGTGAGCGTAGCGTCGCTGGCTGTTGCCCAGGCGGTCCGGGTTCGATCCCCGGCGCGAGCACTGAATTAATTTTTGGTAGTTTCGTTGGGCGGGAGGAGATAGGTGGCCAACCCAACATTCTTGGTACCTAGATATCAATCCTTTGGACTGTCCACGGTTACCAGCCGAGTAGTGCTTCGGATGACACTTAAAAAGCTAAGGTCCCCGTCTTCTTAACTCACACAAGTCTCTGACTTTCGAGGGTTGCTTTGCAACTAAGCTGGCGGTTAAAAACACTTTTTTTTTTTTAAAACAATACCGACTTTATAAGCATTGAACCTATAAACATTAAACATTAAATATGGTAACAAACATAATAACTAGATAGAAAAAGAGACCTAGGTAGATAATTATGGTTTCCTTTACTAGAATAATATCATATTATCACAATCATGTAAAAACTAAGACCAAATGAATGAAACACAAAAGTATTCTGAGAAAGAGATCATTAAAAACAAAAATCTAGGATCTCAATACCTTTAAACTACTGAAACAACCAAACACTAGAATAATATCATCACATCCAACTAACAACAAATAAACCAAAACAAAAATATTCTAAGCATGAGATCACAAAAAAAACATTTTGGAATACCTATTACTCAATAGTACCTTCAAAGGTACTACAGAAACAACAAAATGAAGTAATGTTTCCGAGTTGAGTCCAGTATCATGCAGCCAGTCTGATTCTGAAGAACATGCCTTCTCCTTTTTCGAGATTTCACCATTTTTCCAAATATGTTTAATAATCTGTCTTTCTGTTGAATTTGTTTTTTCCATCAGATTGGTTTGCTGTTGAATAGCTGTACAGATTTTATCTGTACTTCCCTTCTGGATGGAAATATTTTGTTCATTACATTCCAAAATTGTATTTATTATATCAGATTTTGTATGGACCTCTTTCCTTTTTTTTTCGACACGGGATGTATTTGATCCTGATTCTGGTGTTGATGGTATTTCAGATGAGGGAGCTTTAATTTCGTCTGCATCAACAACTACTTCAGCCTTGTCACCCAAAATTTTGTGCAGTAACTTGCCGGTTCCTGATTTTTCTCTTTGCCAGTTTGTTTGCCATGGCGAACGAACTCTACATATTTTTTGCTCAAGTTGGCAAACTTCTGCCTACATTTTTCAGCATCTGCTAAATATCCTTTTTTACACAGTTCCTCACTTATCTCTTTCCACAGTTTCAGTTTTAGTTTCTCCTCCTCTCCTCTCATTTTACTCGGAGTTTCCAAAAATAATAGAGTACCTATATGAAGGTTATCTATCACTAAATCATACTGAAAATGAGGATAGATGAATCAATGAACTTCATGATTCTCTACCTGTTTTGTATCAATAGCCACCAAAACTGAAAAATTTTAGATATATTCTTATATCTGTCATTTCTGTTCTGTATCACTTATTTCAGCATCATAGCGATTATATTAGTCAGTATATTTGAAACCTATATGTTTTTACGGCTCTGCATCGAAATAGCGCATAACAAAACAGCGCGTGACAAAACTGCGCGAACAAAACAGCGCGTTACAAAACAGCGCTGTAACAAAATAACGCGTTCTGAAGTAGCGCTGAGTTCCGTTTGTTATTTCAAATGTTCAAATGTTCGAATGTTTTCGTATCTCAAACATATCTCATCAGCCATTATACCTATCTATCAGTGATTGATAATCCAATAACCTATCATGTGAGTTAGTCGTTCCGTCGTTGCTGTGAAAAAGAAATTACCGAAAATTACCATAGATACGTCATTCGATGTTTCAATTTGACAACAATTACCTATTGTCTGTAATCAGTGTCAGAACAATGGAGATATTGAGAACTCACAAAGGAAGAGATTTACTGAAATATGAAGATTATAGATATAGACGTGGTAAAGTTCATAGTCATTCGGAATCCTGGAGATGTGTTGAAGCTGCCTGCAATGGTAGATTGGTTGTAACTTTCGGAAAACCTAGAGCAACAACTAGTCATAATCACGGCCATGATTTGGGAGAATATGAAGATCATATGGTGAAGGAAAGAATGCGCGATAGTGCCAGATATACCGAAGAGAAGCCAAGAAATATCATTCACGCATCTAAACGGTGTTACGAGAGAATCTTCGGTCCTTTTACCTGCATATGATGCTACCAGGACACTCATACATCGCCAACGTTGCAGCAAAAATTCGATACAACTAACCTTCAGTTCCATGAAGGCAATCACTGTCGGTGAAAAGTACAAATTGACCGAAAGAGAAGACAATTTTGGACAAGGTTCAACCGTGTCTGATATAAGCTCCATATTCATATTTATATAAACCTGTGATTTCAAAGTTGAAAATTCTACAATTGGTTATAGTGAAAATCATAAGTGGGTAGTGACCCATCCAGTACCAGACTGTGAGTACAGTTTGAATTAATTTCCATGTTTTCATTGATATCCTATCTCGACCATTCGATTATCGATAAACAAATAAAAGCAATCCTGTGTGACCAGAAGAATTTTCAACCCTTTCTGAAAAACAGAAGAGTACAGGAGCGGGCCAGTGGTGGCGTAGCAATACTAGTTCAAGAAAATATTCAAGCAAAACTTGTTGACATAAATACCAACCTGGAAGCCATCGCTGTCACATTAGAAGAGAATAACACATCTATATACAATATATATCTTCCACCGAATGAAACAATTGATATCTTGGATCTTAATGAGCTCAATAGAACAGATTCCTCAACCACGTATGATTGTCGGAGATTTCAATGGCCATAATGTCATATGGTGCTCTCTTCTCACCAATCGCAGAGGTAGAACCATCGAAGAACTAATCAACCACTTCAATCTTTCCCTATTGAACGATGAAAGCAAAACAAGATTCAATGCGCACACAGGAGAATCCTCTGTCTTGGACCCCACTCTTACTCTTCTACTTACATGGGAAGCTCTATCTTTCAACTGTAATAGTGATCCCAATCCTATAGTGATATCCAACAACCTGAGAAGACAACAGACAGATGGACCGATTCCAAAATGGAATATTAAATCAGCCGACTGAGAACTCTTTGCAGCCACAATAGAAGAAGATATAGCCACATGTGAAATCACTGAGAATATCGACGAAACCCTAGCAAACTTCAACAGGGTTGTCTTGCAAGGAGCTCAAACTGCTATCGGAAAAACTTCTTTCAATCCTAAACATAATTCGGTCCCCTGGTGGAGTAATGAATGCAAACAGGCAATACGTGACAGTAAAAGGGCACTCAACAAATTTAAACGATACAAAACTACAGAAAATATAATTGAATTCAAAAAACTCAGAGCAAGAGCAACAACCAAGAATGCTGAGCGGACTTCATGGAGACAATATATTTCGAGTATCAATAGCTCAACACCCATGACCGAAGTATGGAAAAAGGTGAGGAGCATATCGGGAACTAATACTCACCAAGGAATCAATATCTTGAGAGTGGATAACAGAACTATAACAGATGAACAAGAAATTGCGGAGACCTTGGCAGAAATGTACGGAGAAAACTCCTGTTCCTCCCATTATAACGAATCATTCTTAGCAAAAAAACATGATGAAGAAGCAGTCGAAATACCCATCGTCATAGACTATGAAGACACCCTGATCATGCCCATAAATAAGGAAGAATACAAAGATGCCCTCTCAAGGTTCAAAAATACAAGTCACGGCCCCGATGAGATCCCAGTAATTTTCATGAAAAATCTCCCAGATATTGCACATGAACTTCTCTTGCGCATATATAACATAATATGGATAGAACATAAATTTCCATCAGCATGGTCAGAGGCTACAATTGCTTCCATTCTTGAAGCACGTAAACCAAAAACTGATCCTGATTCATATAGACCAATCTCTCTCACATGTGTGATGTGTAAAATCCTAGAGAAGATCATCAACAGAAGACTGCTCTGGACCCTTAAACACCGTAATCTACTGACCCCAGAGCAAAGCGCTTTCAGACAACACAGATCCGTCAATGATAATATCCTTGACTTAGGAAGCGATATACATGAAGCACTAGCAGTAAAACAAAATGATTGGCCATCTTTTTTGACATAAAAAGGGCTTTTGACAGTGCATGGCGATACCGCAAAATGAAAATACTAGACTCAAGGAGAATTCGTGGGCACTGCTTCGCTTCCATCCAAAACTTCCTAAAAATAAGAATTTTTCGCGTTAGAACAAACGGAACTTACTCGAGCAAACACACACTAGAAAATGGTACCTCACAAGGATCTGTCATCAGCCCAACTCTGTTCCTTATTGCCATGAATGACATTCTGAAAGGAATCAAATTACCAATGAAAGCAAGACTTCACGCAGATGATCTGGTATTCTTCTGCGAAAACAAAAATGTAGACAATTTATTATCATTGTCTCAGGAAGCACTCTCGAACTTAGAACAATGGTCAAGAGAAATCGGATTCGCCTTCTCAACAGAAAAAACAAAATGTGTTCTCTTCCCAAAAAAGAAACGGCTAATACACCACCCCTCCACTTATATGGGTGAAATCTTGAATATGTCAAAACTATAAAGTTCCTAGGTATAATATTTGATGACAGATTGAACTGGAATGCACATATTAGAAATATGGCCGAGTCTTGTAACAGAAGACTCAATCTGTTGAAAACGCTGGCACATAAGAAGTGGGGATCTGACGGTCAAACAATACTGCACGTTTACAGAACACTTATCAGATCTATAATGGACTTTGGATGTATTGCTTACTACTCGGCGAACAAGACAACACTCAAGCTACTCGACACTATCCACAACAAAGCCTTGCGAATATCATTAGGTGCCTACTACACAACACCAATTGAAAGCATCTACTGTGCAATGGGAGAACCATCTCTTCATAACAGACGTACCTACCTCATTTTGGCGTACGCAGCAACAATAAGTGCAAGCCCAACAAATTCCATTCACAGTAATACATTTTGCGATAAATATAGAAATTTCTTCAGAAATCGAACAAGAACCTATAAACGTTTATACCAGAGAATCCGCGACCATCTACTTACCCTCGATCTATCCCTACCGGAAACGTTTCCTACTAAATTCATCCCACCATTTCCCTGGACTGTCAAACCGCCGAACTGTGACACTAGCCTAACTCGCCTCGACGAACTCAATACCAACACCCAGATCATCAAAAATGAACTCAATCGAATCATTTCCGACTACCCAAATTACACAGAAATCTACACGGATGCCTCAAAAATCAATGAAGGAGTAGTAGCTGGAATAGTTACAACATTCGAATCGTTCTCCTATAAGTTCCCTTCATCGACCAGTATATTCAGTGCAGAGCTTTATGCCATTTACCGTGCGCTGGTCTATATCAATGCGACAGATAGAGATATTATCTTAACGGATTCACTTAGGTCCATACACAAACTGAAGTGTTCATATCCTAAAAACCCTATTGCACAAAGAATAAAAAGAGAACTGCATGCCCAGCAACATGGAAAAAATATTTCTTTCATTTGGGTTCCATCACATATTCAAGGCAACGAAAAAGCCGATGGCGCGATTACCTCTGACGGATCCGAAACAGTGTTGAAAGTAGTATCTACAAACATTAAATCAACAGTTAAATCAGTGATAATCGAGAAATGGCAAACTCATTGGCAAAGGTCCGGTGCAAAACTATGTAAAATAAAACATGTAGTGAAACCTTGGCCTGACGAAACGAAGAACCGGAAACATCAAGTGCTCATCAATCGACTACGCTTAGGTCACACCAATCTCACGCACAGGTATCTGTTAAATCATACCGAAGAGCCAATGTGTGACATATGTGAAACAAAGCTGAGCCGTTATTGGCAGAAACTGTAATATTCCAAATATCATCAACTTTATGAAATGTATCGATATTATAACAAAATTATGAACATGTACGACTCGCAAATAACCACTAGGTTGATGCGAATATGCCTGAATAAAAAAAAAAGAAGACAATTTTCTACTGTGGGATTTTGGCATAGGAGACGCTGATAGATTAATTCTCTTTGGAACAACCAGCAATCTTTCGATTATGGTTTAATTTAAGCACTGGTGTATCGATGGCACATTTTAAGTTGCGCCGACTTTATTCTTACAGTTGTTCACAGTTCATGTACTGATCGATAACAAAGCTGTTCCAGTAATTTATTGCCTCATGCATAATGAAAAAGAAGAGAACTTTAAGGGGATAGTCTCCCGATCAGTTCATTCGGAGCCGCTTTTGAGCCCTTCTTCTGTATCATCAGATTTTGTATAAGCATCAA